TCCGATAAGGGATGCGCAATTTGGGGAGTGGGGGTGGGGTGCTTGTGTAAAGGGTTGGGGTCGGTAGTCAAGCAGACTACTCCCCACAGCCCGTCCCATCATGGTCCTCATAGCCACTCGCTCCACAGGAACCCCCCCCCCCCATTTTGTTTCCAGTGTTGATATACACCGCTGAAGGCAATTAGTGGGGGGCGGGCACAGAGGCACACTCAGAGACATAGAAATAAAAAATAAGCCCCTCACAGAGAGGGGTTGGGGGGGTCACACGCAGTGCCCCGCCGGGAAATCTGTCTTCCAACTCACACAGTCTCAAGCAGAGAGAAGTGGGAGTTGGTGTGGGGGCAGCAGAGAAAACATCAGACATGAAGAGGTGTATACCTGGGGTGATATACACACTCTTGCCTTGGACAGTGAGGGGCCTGGAGACACACAGGGAATAGCACACATATATAAAAGTAAGGAAACACACAGGGGACACGTACAGGTTTATAAACGGATTATAAGCCCAGAGTAACAAACACATGAGCATGTTGAGTCTATGCATGCATTTTACAGCTATGGGAAGCACACAGAGACCCAGAGAAACTCACACAAGCACACACACCTAGACAAAACATATCTACAGAAGATCATGGAAAAACCCAGATATAGAGACACATTATCTGCAGCTGTAGCTCTGATGCTTGTATTTCCTCCTCCCTACACTCACACAGTCTACATGCCCCATTATTCTGCTCTGGACATAGACAAAACCTAATGTCAACAGTGTCAATGGCTGTCTCTTCCCACACCTAAGAATTGTTCAGACAGGACCAGGGTGCCAAATAATATCTGTACATGAGCAAGTGGGGGTAGTCCAGAGTGAGATAAAAAACTCATATCATGGAAGCTGGGAAGGTGGCTCAGTGATAGAGCGCTTGCCTTGCATGCCTGAGGCCCTGAGTTCGATTCCTCAGCACCACATAAGCAAAAGAAAAAAGAAAAAAGCCGGAAGTGGCGCTGTGGCTCAAGTGGTAGAGCGCTAGCCTTGAGCTGAAGAGCTGAGGGACAGTGCCCAGGCCCAGAGTTCAGGCCCCACGACTGGACCCCCCCCCCCAAAATCATATCATATTTTAAGATCCTGGCTACAATAAAAACACAAATCCATAAATAAGCACTTGTTGACTGTATAGAACCAGAACTGTTTATATGCCTTGGGTCATACAACCCTGTGTGTAGATAATGCAATTTCTACTTTACAGATGAGGGAATCTCAAAACTCCAATTAATTCCTATGGGATCATGTGAACTTTCCAATCAATACATTATTTTTCTTTTAAGAGGGTGCCAGGAAGATAGAATAGCCACTGCTAGCGTGGCTAGAACAAAGTCAGGGGGATTGTGGTAGGAGATAGTGTCATAGTTTAGCAAGGACCACACTAGATAAGGCCTTGGCCATAGAGAGCAATGATAGTGGTAGCAGAAGATACACAAGTAAGCAGTTTTGGGAGTCTCTTTTGCCTGCAGGATTTTAAAATGAACTAAGCATGTATTCTTTTGCTTTTCATTCACTAAATCATTAGTCTATTTAAATAAGGCATATAGTGTGGGACTTGGCATCACAGTGTGTGGGTTCAAGTTAGGCCTCCACAATATAGTTAGAAAAGTGATAAAGAGATTTGGTTTCTTCATCTATAAAAGGGGATGGTCATTTGAGCTACGTCTAAGCAGAAGGAGAGGAGCAACCTTTATATATATAATTTTTTTTCAGTCGTGGGGCTTGAACTCTGGGCCTGGGCACTGTCCTTCAGCTCTTCAGCTCAAGGTGAGTGCTCAACCACTTGAGCTACAGCACCACTTCTGGTTTTCTAGTGGTTTATTGGAGATAGGCGTCTCATGGTCTTTCCTGCCCGGGCTGGCTTTGAACCTCAATCCTCAGATCTCAGCCTCCTGAGTAGCTAGGATTACAGACGTTAGCCACTGGCGCCCAGCAGACCTTTGTATTTTTGCATGCACTATAGCCTCTACCAGGAATGCCTTCTCTCTCTTCTCTCAACAGCTGCCTTTGGCCATAGTGGAAATTCTCCCTGTCTCCCAGGTCTCAGATTCCAGTCTTCCCGTAGGTTCCCACAATCACCAAGTCAAACATTTCCCACATCATTCTTTTCCTTTTTCCATCCCACTCAGCTTCAGTCCCATCTCTAGGGCCTTTGCTTTGGCATGTCCTTCTTCCCTCCAGGATGCTCATAAATTGAGTATTTTCCAATGTTTTGAAATTGAAGTGTATGCTTCTGTTGCTAATCAAAAATTGTTTTTTAGCCTAATGCTGGTAGCTCATTCCAGTAATCCAAGCTATTCAGGAGGCTGAGATCTGAGGATCGTGGTTTGAATCAGCCTGGGCAGAAAAGTCCCTGAGCCTCTTATCTCCAATTAATCACCAGAAAACTGGAAGTGGCGCTGTGGTTCAAGTGGTAGAGCACTAGCCATGAGTGAAAAAGCTCAGGGACAGCATACAGACCCTGACTTCAAGTCCCCCAACTGACAAGCAAACAAAAAAAATCGGACTTTTGTTTGTTTGTTTTAACAGAAGCGAATAAACTGCTCAGCCTGTAGTGACCTCTCTAGTGGACAGGCGTAGTTGTGGTTTTCCAGGCCTTTTTGGCACCTCTGGGACTGAATTTGGGCTCCTTGGGATTCTGTCTCTAGTCTGTGCCTCTTCCTAAGAATCTGGCTCCCTAGTACTTGTGGCTTCTAGTGCCATTCCCTTTCTTCAGGTGGCTCAATTTCTAGAAATTATTCATAGATTATCTTTTAGAGGAATGTGGTTTCCCCTTGGAGTTTCTTAGCTCCCCAAAGCAGAAAAATAAAACCTCTCTACATCATCCCTATCTCCTTCAACAGGGCTTTCTACAGAAGGGCCTCCAAGAATGATTTTCTTTCTTATATTTTGGTGAGCCACAGTGCAAGCACATCTCTGACATGTTTACACTCAGTATTGTATCCATATTTATGATATATGTATCTATGTCACCTTAGTGAATATGCACATATGTGACACATATAAATCATATATGTACAACATCCTTCATGATCCTTAATTTTTTTGTCGGAACTCTGGGCTTGGGTGCTGTCCCTGTGCTCTTCAGCTTAAGGCGAGCACTTGCTGCTTGAGCCACAGCACCATTTCTGGTTTTCTAGTGGTTTATTGGAGATACAAGTCTCATGGACTTTCCTGCCCAGGCTGCCTTTGAATCGTGATCCTCAGATCTCAACCTTCTGAGTAGCTAGGCTTACAGGCGTGAGCCACCAGCGCCCGGCAATCCTTAATTTTTGACACATCTGTAAATCTAATCCAACACATAGATATGTACCTCATAATGTACATACACAACTGAATCTCCACTTTTTTTTTTGTCAGTTGTGGGGCTTGAACTCTGGACCTGGGTGCTGTCCCTGATCTCTTCAGCTCAAGGTGAGAACTCTACCTCTTGAGCTACAGCGCCACTTCCAGTTTTCTGGTGGTTAATTGGAGATGAGTCTCAAGGACTTTCCTGCCCAGGCTGGCCTTAACTGCGATCTTCAGATCTCAGCCTCCTGAGTAGCTAGGATTACAGGCATGAGCCATCGGTGCTCTATCTTACACACTTTAGTAGAAACCAGGATCCCCTACATGCACTTGTACTGTTTTCCCAAGATGACCAAATACTCATTGACTCATTTTCATTTCAACTCATCACCTGGACTATTTTACATAATGGAAAATGGACCCAAGAAGTCAAATTAGGGTGGTGATGAGAATTTAGTTATAATGAACCTTCTACTTGGACCTTCCAATGCAGAGGGATCCCCTTTACCCACTGCAGTCTTGAACTCTACTCCTGATTTTAAGTTAGCACCATAATGCATGGTGCTTCAGCAATGTCTAGCTTACAACCTTTCTGAACCTGTTTCTGCCTTTGTAAAATGGGAGAGAATACTGAACCTCATGAGTTTATTGTGGATTAAATGAGTTCATACTATGGAAAGCCTTAAGACACTTCTGGGTTCACAATAAGTACTTTCTAAGTGTTAGCTATTATCATAACTATGATGATGATTCCTATGTGTCTCATCACTAGGGGCTCTCAGCACTTGGTGAGTGGTAAATGAATGAGCAAATGCTAAGAGCATTGGTGTCTGAGTTTGTTCCCTTTACTGCAGAGACACGTGCAGCTCTGATTCCTTTTCTTATGTTCCCTGAAGTCCAGCACTATTGTTAGTATACAGTAGGCGTTAAGTGTTGAACAAAAGGAAAGCCTATTCTGAGTCTGTTCCTTGCTCAGATGTCCTCTTCTACCAGTCCTCCTCCACCCCAGATGTCCAGACTTTAGGTCTAGCATGCAGTAGACAGTTTTAAGTGTTGAGTGAAATGCACAAATGTGAAAGGAATGTGTCTGGGTTTGCCCTGGGGGCTCCTGAAGAAGGAGGCCGACTCTAGCTTCTCTGCTCCCTCCCCAGATCACAGTACATCACAGCCACTTCCTCAGTCCGCCTCCCCACCTCGCAGAGTTATTTGTCATGGATAATTGTGGTGCTAGAGCTGGGCTGTTGGGAGTGGGTGGGTGCAGGTGTTCCCTTGGTAGGGTGCCAACCGTGACCACGCCTCTGCCTCCCTCTGTCATTGACGTGGATGGACCAGCTGAGAAGCTCTAGTGGGTGGGAACTGAAGAAGCTTCAGGAGGCAGAGAGACTGCAACTACCCAGCACATTGGCCAATCAAGAAATGACTGCCCTAGTGAATAGCCAATCAAAGCAAAACAGAGCTCTGCAGAGGGACGTGCTGGGTGGCCCTGGAGCACTGGGAAAGGGGGAAGGTTAGCACAGTGGGGAAAGGAGCTTGTTGCTGGACACTTGCTTTCACAGGCTGCAACCAGAGTGGGAAATACTGTTTTCCAGAACAGGCTGCTGTGTCATAGCTCTAGAAAATGCTATTGCTCCATTTCTGGGAAAGAGGGAAGGTTGTTTTTCCTTCTTTCAGCAAACTCAAAAGAGCCTGATTTATTGGAGTCTGGGAAGACAGGTGGTCAGAATGGAAACATGAAGGGTCAAGGTGTCTCCATAGGATCTTTGCAGGCAGGCACGTGTAGACATGGCCGTTTTTCCTCCACCACCAGCTTCTGCCCCTGCAGCTCTTCACATTGTGGACGTGGATTCCCCCAGAAGGTCACATTCTTCTCACCCTGACCTTCGACCATGGTAACGGTGGGCCTGCGTGTTAGTGAGGGAATGGATGAGAGAAGCTTAGGAAAGGCACAAATACTTTCAACAGATACTTTTTAAAGACAAGGTCTCACTTTATAGCCCAGGAGCTGGCTTTGTACTAGCCATCTTCCTACCTCAATCTCCAGAGTGCTGGGATTATAGGTGTGTGTAACCATAGATAGTTCAACAAAGTCTTTTTTTTGGCGGGGGGTAGATATCAATATTTGAACTCCAGGGTCTTGTGCTTGCTAGGCAAGTTCTCTACCACTTGATCCATACCTTCAAAGAAGTTTTAATGAATGTCCATTGTGTGCCTAACACTACGTTGTAGCCGATACTGGGCTATTTATCCTTCCTGTGCCTCAGTATTACTAATCTACAGAATGGCAATTAAAGGAATGATACCATCTCACCAAGCTGAGTGAGGATAAATGAATAAAATCAAGTAAGTACTTGGTAGTACCTGGCATTATAGTAAATGCTGAAAACATGTTGGTGATTGTTCATTTCTTTGTTTGTGCCAGACCTGGGACTTGAGCTCAGGGCCTTGTGCTCTTGCTTGGCTTTTTCACTCAAGGCTGGTGTTCCGCCAGTTAGGCCACTCTTTCATTTCTAGCTTTTTGGTGGTAAATTAAATGTGAGAATCTCATAGACTTCTCTCTCTGGGCTGGTTTTGAACCACGATCCTCATATCTCAGCCTCTTGAGTAGCTAAGATTACAGGTCTGAGCCCCTAGCACCCAGATGATTGTTAATTATCTTTTCCCCACTCTTCACCTGCATAAAGCCCTTGTCCTGACATTCAAAGTTTTGTTTTTTGGGCCCAAATCCCTGTTTCAAGCCTCTCTTTCCCTCTCTGCCTGCCCCTTCCTCTTCCTCCCCCCTCTCTGTTACACACACACACACACACACACACACACACACACACACACACACACACACACACACACACACACACACACACACACACACACACACACACACACACACACACACACACACACACACACACTGAGTCAACGTTCAGAAAGGTCTTCACCTGAGTTATTTCTTCTATTAGGTAAGCCCTCTATTCATTTCCACTTGGATCTCCACAATTGGTCCATCCTCCACACAGTCTCTCACTAATCCAAGTCCTTTGTGCTTCTATTCAATATCGCTAACTCTAAAGATGGACACTGATGGCTTATGTTGTAATCCTAGCTATTCAGGAGGCTGAGATCTGAGGATCAAGGTTTGAAGCCAGCTGGAGTAGAAAAGCCCACGAGACTCCTATCTCCAATTAACTATCAAAAAATTGGAAGTGGAGGTGTGTCTCAAGTTGGAGAGCACCAGCCCTGATCAAAAAAGCTAAGGAACAATGCTCAAGCCCTGGGAACAGCTCACTTAACCTAGTAGCTTGATCTGTATGGAAGGAAGGGATTGGTGTTTTTTTTTAAACACTTAACTCCTGGGTGAACCACCAGTAAACACACTTAAGTGGTTAATCTTAATCCTATGTTCAGGGCCCTGCTCAGTCCTGATGCCAGGAATGTTTTTTCTCTACTTGCATAGGAAATCTGGCTCTGCTTCTTGGACCCAGGGCAAGGTGGCAGCCCCTCTGCCAGTCATCCCTCTTTATGCCTTCTGCCAGGTACACACTCAACTGGGTTCCTTGGAGGATTCATAGAGCTGGGGTGTGTCTGCAACTATTTCCAGAAAGGCCTTAGAGTGCCTCAGAGAAGTGAGATGTGGTGTGAATGGAGGTTTGAGTGACTGAGAAACTCAAAGTGTAGGAACTAAGGGATCAGGAATGGACACTGAAGTACTGAGTGCATAGGAAAATGGCTAAACTGCTGCACGTAGGACTGAGAGGCACAAAGCCTGTGTGTTAACCCTCAATATCTCCTCTTCCTCTTCTTAATTTCTGGCAGATGGCACTTAGTAAAATAAGCACCTTAGACCCAGTGGCGAAAGCCCTTGCTAGGTGTAGCTGACTTTCTCATCTTTAATACCCTCTACTTAGCATAATCTTCCCCCTCACTCACGCGAACTTGGGAAGCAAGGCTGTGCAGAGGCGCTGGCGGACGCGGGTGGGGTTGGGTCCACATGGAGGTGTGCACAGCCCCCATGTAGTCCACTGTGACCAGGAACCTTTCACTGTAATGAGGGGAGGGGGTCAGAGAGTCAACACTGGAAAGTCTCAGTGGGAAGGTATAGAAGGGTTCACAGCAGAGATGGAAGACCTTTGTCCCTGCCTGGGCTGCCCATCACCATAGTGTTATCTGTGTGTCCACTCACAGTTGCAGTTCTGGATGTTGTAGCAATGTCGGATATCCTGGTAATTCCCAGCACACCGATTCCCATCAAACTTCCGACCCTTGCAAACCCTTGTGCGGTACTGCTGGCCCGGGATTTCATTACAGTTGATGGGCTGCATGGGTAAGCGGCTGCAGACGCCCCATTTTCCCCAGGCTTCCCACTCCCCATTCACTGCAGAGACAGAAGGTAAGCAGGGAGTCAGTGAGGCAGTTCAGAGGGAAGGAAGGAAGGCTATGGGAGTTGTAGGGGTGATCAGATGTGTGGATGCGGGGGTGGGGGTCAGAGGCAGCAGCAAGGCTTGAGGACTAAGGAATAGAGGGGATTTGAAGCAGCAAGGCTTCAGTTGCAGGAATTGGGTAGCAAAGATGGGCTGAGGAATTAGGTATGAAAACAGTGCTTCTGGAGGTGCTAACCAGGGCAGGGTACAGCTGTGTTGCAGATGTGGGTCCGAGTAGCATCACCAGCACAGAAGGGGCCCCCATGCTGGGGCACAGGGTGATCACATTTCCGTCGTTCCAAGGTCTGTCCTAGGCCACAGGTCACAGGACAGGGGCTCACAGGGCCCCATGGTCCCCAGCCTCCAGCCACTGTTGGAGAGGGGAAAGGAAGTGAGGGAATAAACCACCACAAACTTTCCTTCAGCCTCTAGACCCTTGAGGAAGTCCCCAAATGAAGAGCTTCATGGCCCTATGGTATAAGAACTGTTCTAGAAATGACAGAGCATCTGTGCCCTCAAACTAAGAGTCCCTGATGGTGTGTGAATGGCCTCATCTCTGCACACCTGGGCAGGGTGGCAGGCCAGTGCAGCCCCGGTGCTCATAGGCTGCTCCTGGGCAGGGCTTTCCAGGAGGCTGCTTGGAGGGCTCTGGTGCAGAACATGTGCGGCTTCGTGTCTCCTTAGGTTCTTGGGATCCACCATGGCAGGTGCCTGAGCAGGGGCTCCAGGAGCCCCAGGCAGCCCAGGCCCCATGTGCTATGAGAGAGGTGGGAGAGATACACATGTGGTCAGGCACAAGGAAGTCCACTCACCCTGGTAGTTACTTCCTGTAACCCCACAGACCCACCCTGACTCTGGGTGTCTCATCCACATCTTGTTGCTGTCCTTACTCACTGGGGCACACCTGCTGAGTATCACAGGCCTCTGACTTCCGGGCCTCTCCGGGGCAGTGTCCCCCACACTTGGGGGCAGGATGGTCACACAATCTCTGGCGAGTCCTTGTTCCTTTGGAGCAGGTGACAGAGCAAGGCCCCCATGGTGCCCACTCAGACCAACCACCCATCTCTGTGGGAGAGAAGGGGACAGGATGAAATCGGAGATGATATTCAATGTTCTGTTTCCTTATGTACCCTCCATCAGCTAATCCTATCCTCACATCTTGTCCCTACCCTAGCATAACATCGCTCTTGATCTGGACTATGGAAGCAGACTTAGAGAAACACTGGTCCCATTGCTTCACCCCTCAGGGACAGTCTGTTCTGTTTTTTAATCAAGTCAGATGGAATTTCTTCCCTGCCTACAATGGGAATCACTCAGACTAAAGCCAATGCCCTCCCTTCCACCCACTCTCCTCCAGCCACCCCAGCCTTCTCAGTTTCTCACAGGCACAGGCCCTGGCTCCAGGGGCTGGGTGACAAAGAACACATGCCTGCCTCCCTGATCCTCACCAGGACAGCATGGCTGGTCCTCACAGGCCTGTAGCTGCCACTCAAGTGTTCCAGGAGCCACCTTCTCAGGGCACTGTCCACCCCTGCCTACACAGCGCCGGTGTCGTAGCTGGGACCCTTCAGAACATGTCACTGAGCAGGGAGCCCATGAGGACCATGGTGACCATCGTGGGAACCTGTAGAGAGGCACATGTGTCCCATCCAGGGATGAACTGACAGGGTGGCATGTGGGTTTCCAGTGTGTGGATAGGCACAAGAATGGTGCTGGGTAAAAGGAGTACTAGCCCTTAGGGATGCTGAGGGATTAAATGGGAAAGGTGAGGAACGAATGGAGTAAATGTCACTTCCCTTCATGGCTGGGTCCCTGAAGTTACCCTTAGATATCCCCCCAAGAACAAAGCCAGGAACACAGTAAGCAAATGTAAGGACCTGGAGCCCCAAACTGCTCCCAGAAACCCAAAATGCCCACCACCTTGTACTGTAGCAGGCAGATAGGAAGTGTTTAGTAAATGGGAGACCTCCCAATGGGCTGAGGCCTCTTCAGAAACACCCTACCTAGATAAATCCTCAACCTCCTACTCAGTCCACCAATGTTTAAGAGATATGAAGCTGGGCACTGGTGGCTCACACCTGTAAGCCTAGCTACTCAGGAGGCTGAGATGTGAGGATGGCAGTTCAAAGCCAGCCCGGGTAGGAAAGTCTGTGAGACTCTTTATCTCCAATAAACCACCAGAAAACTGGAAGTGGCTCTGTGGCTCAAGTAGTAGAGCACTAACCTTAAACTGAAGAGCTGAGGGACAGCACCCAGGCCCAGAATTCAAGCCCCATGACAGAGAGAGAAAGGAGGTTAGGGGGAGGAACTACAGACATAACTAGGGACTCAGAGCTGCTCTTGATGATCCCCAAGCTCCAACTCAGGAGGCTGAGATCTCAGGATTGCAGTTCAAAGCCAGCCTAGGCAGAAAAGACAATAGGACTCTTATCTCCAATTAAGCACCAAAAAAGCCAGAAGTGGAGCTGTGGTCTAAGTTGTGGAGCTTTAGCCTTGAGCATAAAAGACCAGGGACAGTGTTCAGGCCTTAAGTTCAAGCTCTAGAACCAGTACCAAAAAAAAAAATCCCAATCCTCCAATCCCCACAGTGTCTCTGGAATACACAGGAAGTGGTGGTAAAATACATCTAGAAGACAATAATGAGGACTCCATCAATGTAAGCCAAAAGTCATGATTAGGAGACTACAGATTCTCTGAGATCCCCAAGCTGCCACTCAGACCCTGCAATGTGTCTACTATGGAGGAAGTACCCAGTGAATGTGGAGTGTCATCATAATTAGGGGCCCAGAACCACCCCTAAATTCCCCCAAACTTCTCCATTCCCACAATGTGTCTGTATACAGTAAGCACTCAATAAACATGGGCTGTCATCACATCTAGGGGACTGGAGTTACCTTCTGGAAATATCCAAATTGCACTCTACCTGCAATGCTTACAGGAAGTGCTGTAACTGGTTCTCAATTAGGGCTGTTCCTCCTCACCACACCCAGGATCTTTGGCAATGTCAAGATATTTTTTGATTGTCTCAACAGGTGTGAGGAGTTGCTATTAGCATTTGAGAGGAGGCCAGGAATGTTATAAAATATCCTACAAAGCACACGTCAGCATCCATACCCCTGACAAAGAATTTTTCAGCTCCAAATGACAATAGTTTCAAGGTTGAGAAACTCTGAACTATGGGGCTGGGCACAGTGCTCACTCTTATAAACACAGTTACTGAGGAGGCAGAAACTAGGATTGTGGTTCAAGGCCAGCCCAGGCAAAATGTTAGTAAGATTTTATGTCAACAAACAAATTCAGTACGGTGGTGCATTTCTGTAATACCGGCTACTTGGGAGGCATAAGTAGGGCGATCATGATTCGAGGCCTGCTCAGGTAAAAAATGTAAAACCCTATCTGATAATCGAAAGCTTTGGGCTTGGAGTGGTAGTGTTGGCCTAGCAAGTACAAGGTCCTGAGTTCAAAGTCCAATACCCCCATGAAAGAAAGGGCAGGAGGAAGAGAGTGGGGAGGGGCAAGAAAGAAGGAAGGAAGGAAAGAAGCAAAGAAGGGAGACAGAGTAAATGTCATGATCTGGGCCTTGTGGGCCATCCTTGGAAGCTCCGGAGAAAAGCTAAGCCCAGTTCTGGGTGACAGTCTTCTTGGCCTTCCCCTAGCCCAGCTCCACCGAACCTGCATGCCTGACAGAGCCCACTACCATGCTCCTGGAAAGCATAGGCAGTGTTGAGACAGCAGTCCTCTGCACGGACACCTCCCCCCAGCAGGCCCTGGCATTTGCCAGTTGACTCTTCATACTGGGTGAAGCAGATCACTGGGTCTGAGCCTGTAACAAGACCAGGGGAGGAGGAGAACAGCTGGTTAGGGGTCTGGTGATCCTGGATGCCCCTGGTAGACAGCTAGGCCTTCACCCACTTACCTGTGACTGGTAGCGTGAGCAGCAGCAGTAGTAGCAACCCAGGGACCTGTACTTGGACAGTCATGTTGAATACGCCAACCCTGCTGACCCGCGAGAGGAAGAGAGAAGGCCCAGTCTTTATCTGGGCTGACCTGCTCTGGAAAAGAGGAACCTAGGGGTAGCAGGAGGAACTGAGAGGGTATGGTGCAGGCCTCTTCAGCTCTGACTTCTCCAGTGTCCTCTCTGCCTCCTCCCTTCTACATTTCCTGTGTCACCCTTGGTACTGTTTTCTTTGTCACCCAATCCCCAGCACCCTCCTCCACTTCACCTAGCAACCATTCAGTGCTCTATGGCCCTCGGAGAAACTCTCACTTGAAGAACAATGGAGCCTGAGAGTTTGGAGCTAGAACCTCTTATAGATGTAGTCTTGGGCAAGTAACTTCATCTTGGAGCCTGGTACCCAGTATGGAAAATGCATGATCCCCACAATGCAAGAGAGAGCCTCATGTTCGTGGGGGTGTTGGGTAAGGGTGTGATGTGGGTGGCCCTGGTCAAGGGGTAGAGAGGTATCTAGGCAATTACTTGGCTCTCCATCCTGACTTCACTCTGCCCTCTTCTTTCCTAAAAGTGACGTTCCCTGTGGTCAGCATGGCGGAGTGGGGAGAACCCAAGGGAAGTGAGAAGGGGAAGCGGCATGGTGTGGGGATTCCAAAGGGAGTGGAATTGGGTATCCACTGCCCTGGGGGGGGGGGGCTCAGGGGTAGGGATGGGGGTGGGGATGGCGATGGAAAGGAGGGAATAGGCTGGGCCATGGTTCATCAGAATGCATTTGGCAGGTAATATAACCCATCTTTGGGCCTGTTTCCTGCTCACAGATAGTACCTACACAGCATAGGTCAGGTTTGAGGTGAACTGTGGAAGTTAAGGTTTAAAAAGTACTTAGAGCTGGGTGCTGGTGTTTCACACTTCTAATCCTAGCTACTCAGGAGTATGAGATTTAAGGATTGAGGTTTGAAGCCAGTCTGGAAGGAAGGTCTTTGTAACTCCTCAAATAACCACCAAAAAATAGGAAGTTGGACTATGGCTCAAGTGGCAAAAGTACCAGCCTTGAGCAAAAAAGCTAGGGGACAGTGCCTAGGCTGAGTTCAACCCTCAGTACTGCCCCTCCAAAGTACTTAGAATAGCACCTGCCATACAGGAGAGGCTGCTTGTTAAATTATCTGTTCAACACTGATTTTCTTGAAATAACCACTTACTATGTAGCTTAAACAGGCATGAAACTATGTAGTCCAGGCTGGCATTGAATGTGAAAATTTCCTGCCTCAGCCTCAAGAGTGCTGAGATTAAACCACCACATGCAACTTTATTCACCATTTATTGAGTACTTATAGGATTTGAGATGTGGTTCTCAGAATTATATGGAGCAGAGAACAGGACAACAATTCTGATCCCCTAGGGACTTAAAGGTGGAGACAAGCAGTAACATTTAGAGGCCCTCTCCAGATACCCTTCTTGGATGGCATTCCTGCTATTCTCTAGCCCAGTGGCTTTCAAATTTTAGTGTGTATCAGATGACTTTCAGTGTTTGATAAAACTGTAGATTGCTGGGCCCTATCTACCCGATTCAATAGGTTCAGAGTAGGGCTTCAGAATATGCATTTCTTTTGTTTGTGTGCTGGTACTGGAGCTTAACCTCAAGGTCTCACAGCCTCCCTTGTCTTTTTTTTTCCTCCTGGGGCTTGAACTCCAGGACTGAGCACTGTCTCTTGAGCTTCTTTTGCTCAAGGCCAACACTCTTATCATTTGAACCACAGCACCACTTCTGGCTTTTTCTGTTTATGTGGTACTGAGGAATCAAACCCAGGGCTTCATGCATGCTAGGCAAGCACTCTGCCACTAAGACACATACTTTCCCAGCCTCCTTTGTCTCTTTGCTCAAGGTTGGCATTCTACCACTTGAGCCACAGCTCCACTTCTGACTTTTTGCTAGTTAATTGGAAGTAAGTGTCTTACAGTATGTTGAGGATGACTTTGAACTGCAATCCTATGACCTCAGCCACCAGAGTAGCTAAAATTACAGTACTGAGCCACAGGTGCCTAGCTAATTTTGCATTTCTAACAAGCTCCCAGAAGACACTGATGCTACTGGTCTGGGGAACACACTTTTATTAAACTTACCAGTCTAGTCCTTTAAGCTTTATTTTTCCGTGTGTGTGGGGGGGGGGAAGGGTCTCATCTAAAGGAAACAATGCTATGAGCTCCTTGTTTTACTGTTAATAATGAACTCCTCTTTAGCCCATTTTCTTGCCAGTAAACCTGAGCTCCACAGACCTGCTACTTTCCTTTTTCATGTGCCTTAGTGAGCAAAATTCAAGAGTCTGTTTTAAATGCAGAAGTCTTAGGCCAGGTGTGGTGGCACAGACTTATAATCTCAGCACTTGGAAGATTGAGACAGGAAGATTATGAATTTGAGGCCAGTCTAGGCTATATAGTGAGGTTAACTGTGACAAAAAGTATCTTGTGGGCTGGGGATGTAGTTCAGTGGTAGAATACACACACACACACACACACACACACACACACACACACACTAAAGATAGAAAGCTGAGGCCTCATTTCTGCTGCATTCACATAGAAAAAAAACATTCTGCAAATTAAAACAACTTGGTCAAGGGTTAAAAACAACTCTTTAAGAATGCTGCTCTTATTTTCTGGGCGATCTGGTATGTTAATATTTGTATCCATTACAGATATACTGTGTTCTCTGACCATGTACTTGAACAAAGGGGTCTTGTTAAGATTCTAAGACTTCAGCTGTCAGGGCTTGTATTATCTTGTGAAAACAAACTCCTCAAGAAACCTGCAATTCTGCCTGGCTGCTTTATTAATCACTTGTTGCCCTGGAAATAATGTTATAATCGATATTTCCTTTGTATTAACTATTCAGGATTCTCTGTGGATGAAGACTGTTGGTGCCTTTTCTCCCACACATTCAGGTATTCAAATGCCTTAGCAGATTGCTTATTTAGAAACAAAGAAAAATAAGGGAATGTCTGGTCTTACCACATTATTAATGTATTAATGAATACATTTAGGGTATTTATTTAAAACATTAATATATTATCTGTTTCTTGTCAGTTTTCCTCACCCCAAAATGGCAGAGGGTAGTTTTTCTCTTTTTTTTTTGGTGCCAGTCCTGGGGCTTGAACTCAGGGCTTGGGCATTATTCCCCCGAGCTTTTTTACTCAAGACTAGTGCTCTAACAGTTGAACCACAGCTTCACTTCCTTTTTTTGTGGTGGTTATTTTGAGATAAGAGTCTCACAGATCTTCCTTCCAGGCTTAATCCTCAGATCTCAGCCTCCTGAGTAGCTAGGATTACAGGCACAAGCCACCAACACCTGGCTTTTCTTTTTTTCTTTTGAGACAAGGTCTCAATATTTGGCCTAGTCTGTCCTGAGTTTGTGAGCCTCCTGTCTCAGTCTCCTACCTGAGTGCCAGGACTGCAGAAATTTATCTCCATCCCTGGAAATGGCAGAGATTTTTTTTTTTTTTGCCAGTCATGGGGCCTGAACTCTGGGTCTGGGCGCTGTCCCTCAGCTCTTCAGCTCAAGGCTAGCACTCTACCACTGGAGCCACAGCGCCACTTCTGGCTTTTTCTGTTTATGTGGTGCTGAGGAAACGAACCCAGGGCCTCATGCTTGCAAGGCATGCACTCTACTGCTGAGCTACCGAGATTTTTGACTGGTTAACTTCTGGGACTTTGGTGCATTAAATGGGTGTTGACAAACAAATGTGCAATAAAGATCTGCTGAGTAAATGCTAACAGAACAGTTTGAGCAGGAGATAAAAGCATCATCTTGGGGGATAAACCCTGTTTCATGCCAAGACCAGATAGGACCATCTATAGAAGGCACATGAGAAGGGAGTCCCAGGAAAACCTTAGAGGAATCCCAGTTTTTCATGTTTTGGAGAAATGGAAAGAGCCAGCCCAGAGGATGGAGTAGGAGAGGACTGTGGAGGAAGAGGACAGACAAACATGGTCTTATCTGGTCTCCATCATGTTTTCTCATGCTTGTTTTCTTTTTTACGTTTTTTTTTTTTTTTGTCGGTCGTGGGGCTTGAACTCTGGGCCTGGGCGCTGTCCCTCAGCTCTTCAGCTCAAGGCGAGCGCTCTACCACTTGAGCTACAGCGCCACTTCCTCATGCTTGTTTTCTTAACCTACATATAGTTCTGGGTTTAGAGCCTCTGTTGTCTCTTTTATAAAGAGGCTCACAAGCATACACAATCATACCTCAGACACTCGAAGTTATGTATGTATTGTATGTGACAGTTTTGCAGATTTTTGCAACCACGCTAGGCTCTTATACAATATTATTCAGTCTTAGTTGTTTCTGAAATACAGCCATATTTTTCACATAAACACACTGTTAAACATTTGTGGTCACAACGTCTTACTTTAAAAAAAAAAAATCGAGTCCAGGGATTAGGATTCAGAGCCTGAGAACAGTCCTTGAGCTTTTTTGCTTAAGGCTGACACTCTACCACTGGAGCCACAGCTCCACTTCTTTCTCTTTTGGTACTTAATTGGATGTTAAAGAGTCTTACGGACTTTCCTGCCTAGGCTGCTTCAAACCATGACCCTGAGATCTCAGCCTCCTGAATAGCTAGGATTACAGGCATGAGATACTGATGCCTCGTTGTGGTAAACATTTCTGACATCTCTCATACACAGAACACACACAATCACAACTTCCTATAGTTTTTCTCACCACATTGACTACTAACTTATAGTCGCGATTACTGGTTTTGACAGATACTATCCCAACAGTGTTTCTCAATCAACCTCTACCTCACACCCTTTGCCCTTCACACAAAATCATGCCTGTCACATTCAGTTCATCCTGAGATCAGCAGGGGAAAAAATACCAGTAGCCTCCAGGAACACCTTTAAAAATATATATTTACAGGAACGATTCCCCATTCTCTGGGACTTTTAGAAAAAAAGGTCCATTTTGGGGAAATAAAATAAACAGTGGAGACGAGTGTAGCACCGTCCCCCAAATCACCAACCCTCAGGTCTCCAGGCCTGGGCTGGTATTGACAGGAGTATTTTGAACCCACCCTGTCCAGCCTGGATTTCCCAGACTGGAACTCCCAAACTACAAGACAGGCTTTATATGCCCCATTCCTCCCTCCCAACTCCAGGGACACTTAAAGGGTCCTTTGCACCCGCCCGCAGGAAATTGGGGGGCTGGGAGGGAGGGAGCTGAAAATACACGTTTGGTATCAAAAATAAACACTTGGGGGGGTGGCAGGAAGATTCCCCCCAAATCCCTTCCTTCCCACCCACCCCAAAACAGGAAGAGATGCTTCCCTCTCCCATATTGAAAAGCCTCATTTAAAAATAGATTATACTATCAAAATGGCAAGGGGTGGGAGACAGGGAGATCTGGAGTACTGGCTGGAGAGGCCCCCCAGACGGGGACCACTCAAAAAAAACCCCTCCATTGGGAGGCAACAGGCAGGACCCCAGGGAGTTTGCAGACAAAGGAATGGCTTCTCAGTGGGAAGAACAGCAAAACGGGTGTTCTTCCCTGGCCAAAATGTTGGTTGAGAAAAGGATAAACTGTCTGAGAGAAAAGTTGGGGAGGTGGGAATTGCTATCCCAAGGGTGTGATTCCTCCTTGCCCAGGACTCTCAAACTATTAAACTGTACAATTTCTTCCTGGATCCTTAGGTATAGCCAGGAATAATAAAACAAACTAGCTCTTCTTCCCACACCCCAAAATAGTGACAGGGCCCCCTCATCTCCCCAAGGGTAGGCTGAGAAATAAAGAAAGATCCTTCTCAAGCCAGACCCCGATTGTCTTGTTTTGAGGAAAAAAAATGAGGAGATGAAGGAGATGTCTAAACCACCCCCTAAAAGGACTGGGCCAGATTCCTCCCAGTGGCCTTCAAAAAATAAATAAATAAACCGTCCCTACCACGGAAGTAGGAGACGAGTAATGGCGGCCACTGAGGGACTGACAAAGAGAAGTTGTGTGTTTTCGGTGGAAGAGTTAGTGAGTGAGAGATCCTTCTTCCCAGGAATCCCCATCACAACCAAAGCACAAGTCAGTTAGTTGTTCTATGTTTCTCCTTGAGATGGCTGGCTGGAGAGAAGTTCAGGGGCATGGATAGAGTGACCCCAGAAGGGGGTGGTGGTGGTGGTGGTGGTGTTGGTGGTAGTCATGGCTTCTGAGGCCCTGGGGAGAGCACCACGGGGGTCGAGAGGCCATCCACGCTGATGGAAGGGATGTGCACCTGTGCGCTGCCGCTGGACGGAAACTGGGGGAAAAATAGGGAGAGGTCATAGATGGGGCCATGCTTGCATCTCTCACCCTCTCCAAGATGGTGTGAGGGAAATCCTACCTGGAAGGAGAGCTTGGCTGGACTGCGGGGCGCAATGGGACTCAGGGTGCTCCAGAAGTGAATGCTGGGGGGCAGCGAGCTGGGTGTCAGCAGCACCGGGGTCTGTGAGGAAGGGTTGGTCAGAGCTCAAGTAAACAGAAGAAAGGTGTGGGAAGATGGAGGGAACTTGGCCTCAGCCCCACCATATATTTCCTACTCAGATTTCTATAGTTGTTCCTCAAAAGTTCACAGACCTGGACCATAACTACTAAGGCCATGCCCATGGTATATCAAACTCTCCACTCACCCTCTCTCAAGTTGCTGAGACCTCACTGGGCAAGACTACTCAGTAGTTCTATTCACTTGTTGCTTACAGACCTCACAAGTGACCATCCTCCTAACAGCTTATGTCAATTTGCAATTCTTAGGTCCCATCTGAATACCTCACTGGGAAACTCAGTAACAAATCCCAGACCCATTACACGCCCCCCCCCTTCCCTGCTGCACTAAGGTTCCTTCAGCCAAGTCCTACCCAGAAATAGTTCCCATAGAAAGCCTGAGTCCTCTAAATGCCACCCACAAAGTCCCTAGACGGGCTCATTTTCAATCAAGGCCCCTCACTCCAGACTAAGCCTCAGCTCAGACAATCTCATTCAAAGGCTCCACCCTCCTAGGATTCAACCTCTAATTCCAGTCAGTCACCCTCCAAATGCCAATCCCTCTCATCCGGATGCTAGCCCCGCCCCTCGCAGACACTCACCAATGTATGCGTAGGTAGCAGAGAGGGCGTCAGCGCCGGTCCCGGAGCCTGAAGACCAGAGCCAGTTCCTGATCCGGGAGTCCGGTCAGGTCCTGGCCCACTCAGCAGGCTCGGGCTAAGTGGAAGTTCCAGATCTCGGGGCTTCCGGCCCTTCTGGGGCTGAGCAATCTCAGTGGTGGAGGCTGAGAGGCCGCCCACCGGGGCTGTTGTTTCCATAAGTACTGTGGGCAGCCGCGCCAGCAGGCCCTCCGTGGGAGGGACTTCCGGATCACCCTTGACAGCTTCCCGCACCAATCCTGTCTCCCCTGAAGCTTGTAACTCCTCCTTGGGTCCCTCCACTTTCACTTGTGGGGGCAATGGGCGTCCCGGACTTGGCTCTACATTCAGCTCTTCTGACTTCTTGTTTGGGGCCTCAGGTGGGGTCAGGATGACCTGGAAGAAGAGTGAGCACAAAGGAGGTATATAAGGATGGAGAACTTTTTTCCGATGGGCCAATTATTTCCCTGATATTTAGTCCTGGGGGCATGGCTGTACATGAGGGTATGTCCACCACTAAGACACTGGACTTTATGGAAATGAGGTTTTCTCTGCGGCAGATCCTTCTATGGGATAGGGGTTCTAGGATGAGACAATTTAATAATGAGACATTAGGAGATAAAACCCTCATTCAGGAGAACAGTGGCACTCAGAAATGTGCTTTTTTGTGCTGGTCCTGGGATTTAAACTCAGGACCTAGGGCATTGTCCCTGAGCTTTTTTTGCTCTAGTCTAGCACTATACCAGTTGAGCCACAGCTCCACTTCAATTTTTTTTGGTGCTTAATTGGAATACTTAATACTTAATTGGAAGACTTCTCTGTTCCAGTTGACTTCAAAATGCAAACCTCAAATCTCAGCCTCCTGAGTAGCTAGGATTACAGGTGTGAGCCACTAGTGCCTGGCTCAGGAATGTGTTTTTACAGACCAGATGCATTTGCTTAACTGAGAAAGACTCTTTAAGGTACAGATCTAGGGTCCTGGCCCCAGACATACACAAATCAGATTGTTGGGCCCCAGCTATCTGTTGATTAACAAGCCGTCCAGGTGATTCTGATGAGTGCAAAGGGGGTGAGAACCTGTGTATTAAATATGTGCAGAGCACCTACTACATGCTGAGGAGCTACTAACTGTACCATGCTTATCCTCCCTCTTCCTTCTCATGATTTGCAATAACTCTCACCTCTTTCTCAAAGGGAGCTTCCTTCCTTCCTTCCACCATGATTTAATAGGACTTCTATGTCCCTTCTGTCTTCCACAGCAAGCTTCTTCAACCCTTTATTATGAATCTCCATGTTCCAGTACTTACCTGCAGGGGCAGGCCAGCTTCTTCCACCTCCAGGCAGGCCTCCAAGGGGTTTGGACTGGCACTCCTGCTCCTTGAGGGGGGTGCTGCTGCTCCTGCAGAGGCAGTGTTAGGGAGCACCGAGGCAGGCCGAGGGTGAGGAGGTACTTGTGGCTGTGGCTGCAGGGACTGGATTGTGAAGGTGGAATAGAGGCCCGAACGCATATATTCATTTCGGCTACTGCGTGCCAGGCTGCCGGGGCCTGCCACTCCTGCACTCTTGGGTGTACCTGGCTTTCCAGCAGTAGTGTCTCCAGGTGCAGCATGTGCAGCAGCAGGGGCAACATTTGCCACTGCAGAGGCTACAGACACTTCAGGCTGGGGTGGGCAGTCCTCTGTGGAGCACCCTGCAACTTCTGGGTAGGACACAAACTTGTAGACAAACTTCTGGCCGCTCACCTTGCGGATTATATTCTGGAAAGGGAAGGGATAGATTTGAGGGCCTTAGAGGAAAAGGGGCAGGGTGGAAGGTGGGTATTGAAGGGTCTTTCTTCCCACTTGCTCTCACTTTGCTCATCTCTTTCTCAAGTTGTGGGCTGCCTTCTCACTGACTCTTTCTCTTCCCAGATGCCCCATCTCTCTGCCCCATCCCCACTTACTCCTTCTCCGCCCCTCCCCACAATTCTTTATCCTTCCCTTCCCTATTCCTCAAAGTCTCCTGTTACTCTTAATCTTCAACCTTCCAACCCCTCCCCCCCCCACCCCCCACACACGTGGCTCCACTTCAGAATGGGACCCAATTACAGGAGTAGACTAAGACCCAGGGTTTAACAGGGTTGGATCTTGCAGGTGTCTGCTGGGACATAGATTTGGAGACTAGCCAGTTTAGTAGAGAAAGAAATGCCAGAAGAGACTAGATAGTACATTAATATAGGTGAATGGGATTAATTATTGATATGGAGAATGATTTAAAGCTCTTGACACAGACAAGGAACAAGGCAGGTCACTGCTAAGAACAGGGGGATCTCATATTAGTACTGTGGTAGCGATTTAGGCTAAAGCACTAAGAAAAGGAAGTACCTGAAAGCAAGAGCATTTAGATATTGGTATAGATACTGGAGGAGGATTTCTGGTGTAAGTGGCCCAGAGCATGTTAGAACATATCTGCTGGGGCTAGGAAGGTGGCTCAGTAGTAGAGTGCTTGCCTCACAAGCATGAGGCTGATTCTTCAGCACCACATAAACAGAAAAAGCCAGAAGTGGTGCTGTGGCTTAAGTGGTAGAGCACCAGCCTTGGCCCACGACTGGCCAAAAAAAAAAAAAAAGAACATATCTGCTCTAAAGTGTCTCAGGGTTGTTATGGTGGTCTCAGAAGACAAAACAAGGTAGCTTCATTAATATTGTTTTGGAAGTCTAAACCAAGGGAATAAAATATGTGAATGCAGTAAGTGCACCAGAGTGCACCAGTGGGGCACCAGAGTATTCTAGGGATACCCTTTTTTTTGGTCAATTGTGGGGCTTGAACTCTGGACCTGGGAGCTGTCCCTGAGCTCTTGAGCTCAAGGTGAACACTCTACCACTTGAGCCACAGTGCCACTTCCCGTTTTCTGGTGGTTAATTGGAGATAAGAGTTTCATGCACTTTCCTGCCCAGGCTGGCTTTGAACCACAATCCTCAGATCTTAGCCTCTTGAGTAGCTAGGACTATAGGAGTGAGCCACTGGCACCTGGTGGGATGCCTTTTTTATTGTGCCAGTCCTGAGATTTGAACTCAGTTCCTGGACACTGTCCCTAAGCATTTTTGCTCAAGGCTAGTGCTCTACCACTTGAGCCACAGCTCCACTTCCAGCTTTGGTAATGAATTGGAGATAAGAGTCCCAATGCACTTCCTTTTGTGGGCTGGCTTTGAACTATGATTCTAAGATCTCAGCCTCCTGAGCAGCTAGGATTACAGGTGTGAGCCACTAGTTCCTGGTTCTGGGGAGGTCTTCATGATGTCACAGGGTGGGCCTGTATTTCTTAGAACAGGAATAAAGAGAGATATTTGTTGACATTGTTTTGGATGTTTCTGTTAAGAAAATCAAATGAAAACTGGTATAGATGTTGGAGGGGGTCTGAGAGGATAAGATGAAGAAAATGTAAAATTTTAGCTGTAGGAATATGATGATGCCATAAATCAATTGTTAGAAATATTGAGAAGGACCAGTGTTATTCTGGGAATCCAAGAGAATAGCGTGTAGAGCTGGTACCACACATGTTCATCTGGAGGCTTTAGCTAAAAGAATAAGAGAAGGAAGGAAAGTGTTGGAGGTTCCAGAAAATTATGTAAGGAAATGTTAGTAAAGTACTATCAGGGTGGTTCTGACTCTAGGATTAAGACTATGGAATATTCTGGAGTAAGAGAAGATTATGAAGTAACTGGGGTAGCCCAGCATTGGTCTAAATGTTCTAAGGGACCACTATGGGGCCTAGCCACTATTAACAATGCTTTCAAAGTTTTGGCTACAAGAATAAGGCAGGAAGTCAAAAGCAGGTGGCTCATGTCTGTAACATTAGCCACTCAGCAGGCTGTTATCTGAGGAACATAGTTTGAAGCCAGCTTGGATAGGAAAGTCTACAAGACTCATCAACAACCTAAAAAGCTAGAAGTAGACCTGTGACTCAGGCGATAGAGTGCCAGCCTTGAGGGAAAAAAAGAGCTAAGGGACAGTGCCTAGGCTCCAAGTTCAAGCACTAGTATCAGCACATACACAAAAAGAATAAAGCACAAAAGCAATATATAGGGCATGGCAAGGCAGCATTGCTTTGGGAATCTCAGTGAGTAGGGTAAAGAGGAGTCAGTATTAGTACTGCTGTAAGGGTTATAGTCAAAGCAGTAAGAAAATAAAACAACTGAGATAAATATTTGGGGGCCCAACATTGGTCTGAGAGTACCAGTAGATAAGATTAAATGTTAATATTGTTTTCAGAGTTCTGGCCGTAGCAATCACATCAAAAAATGAAATTTCTAATACAAATTTCAGAGGTCCAAGCCATGGGTCTCAGAGGCCATACCTTGTCATAGTAGTACCGCAAAGCCCGGCTGAGCTTGTCATAATTCATGTTGGTTTTGTTCTTCCGCAGCCCCCACAGCCGGGCCACCTCCTCTGCATCCACCAGCTTGAACTCACCACCATCCCGTGAGGTCCAGGAGATAATGTGGCCATTACCTTGCTCTCTCAGCAGCTGCAGCAGAAACTGCCACAGGGTCACAGATGGGTCCATTACTGGGGGAGCGCTCACGCCATCCCAGGGGTACCTAGAGGGCAGAAAGCTCAAACTGAGAAGCTGTGGAGAGAAGGAGCAGAGGATAAGACTCCTTTCTTATCATCATGCCTCCTCCTGTCCCCAAATCCCACCACTATTTTCTTTGGCGAGGGGGAGGGGGGGGAGGTAGAGATAGTTGGCAAGATAATGCCAAGGCCCAAATATGTCTATCCTACGAGTATATTATATTATGTATTAAGAAAGAACTCTGCCAGCTCTGGTGGCTCACACTTGTAATCCTAGCTACTTACAGAGGCTGAGATCTGAGGATCACATTTGGAAGCTACTTTGATAAAGAAAGTCTGTGAGACTCTTTTCTCCATTTAACTACTAAAAAAGCTGGAAGTGGAGCTCTGGCTCAAGTGGTAGATGAGCAAGGAATCTATGGGACAGAGCCCAGGCCCTGAGTTCTAGCCCCAGGACCAGAAAAAGGAAGAAAAGAGCAAGCAAAAAGGAAGAAAAGCAAGCAAGCAAGAAAGGAAGGAACAATGGAAAAAAATTAGAAATCTTTGATATGAAATTGAGTTTACAGGCCTTAAGATGAGAGAGAAAATTCTTGCTTATTTAGTGATGGCAATTTAATCATATGAGCTCTGAAAAGACAAAGGAAGCAGAAAGAGATCAGAGACAGAATAAAGAAGACAAAGAAAGCAGAAAGAGATCAGACAGAACGATAGGGGAAGGAGTGTTTGCAAGGCAAGGGCAGAGCTATAGGACTAACCTGTCAGCTGAAATACAAGGAAGGGGGTTCCAAGACAAGTGATGTGGGTGCCTTAAAGCTGCAACAACCCTCAGCTGATAGCCAATCAGAAAACAAGGATTTCAGTTCTACAACTTGAAGAACTGAATTCTATCAACAATCTGAATAGCAGGAAATGATCATGTTATGCAGCCTCCATAAAGAATACAATGTTGCCAATACCTTCCTGTTAGTTTGGTGAGAGCCATGTGGGATTTCTGATCTACATAGAATTGTCAGATAACATTTTTCTTTGTTGAGACAAGAGTTTCACTGTGTAGCCCAGACCTCAAAAGCACAATCCTCCTATCTCAGTTTCCCAAATTCTGGGATTATAGATGTGTGTTAGCATACTTACATTTTTTGTGTGCAGGTTCTGGGGCTTGAACTCAGGGTCTGGACACTGTCCTTGAGCTTTTTTTGCTCATGCCTAGCTAGCTCTCTGCCACTTGAGCCACAGCTCCACTTCAAGCTTTTTTGGTGCTTAATTGGACATAAGAGTCTCTTGGACTTTCCTTTTCTTTGAACCTTGATCTTCAATCTTAGCCTCCTGAATAGATAGACTTACAGGCATGATCCACCAGTGCCTGGCAAAAATATGTTTTTTTTAAATAAAGAAGCAAAATTTCAAATAAGTTGTCACAGCAGGACGAGAAAACTAGTGCAATGCCTCTCATGTGAGATTTTTGTTTTGTTTTGGTGTGCTGTTACTCGGGCTTGAATTCAGGGCTTAGGTGCTGTCCCTGAGCTTTTGTTTAAGGCTACAGCTCTACTACTTGGCCCACAGTTCTACTTCTGGCTGCTTAAAGTCTCACAGGCTTTCCTGCCCCAGCTGACTTCAAACCTCGATCCTCAGGTTTCAGCCTCCTGAGTAGTTAGGATTACAGGAGTGAGCCACTGCCTCTGGCTATATCTTGTTTTTTCAAAACAAGGTAATTTACTATGCCAGGCTATGAGCTTTTTAAAAATCACATCAGTGTTAAGATCTTTAGGAGATGCCTTTTGTAAGATCCTTGCAAGTACTGGTCACTGAAAGTGGGGCTGCTTTGCTCTGCTGAATAGTCTTCAAGTCTCAGCCCAAAGGTCCTTTTCATGAAGTCTTCCTGAATCTTTCCCTGTATCCTCATCCCTCCCCAACCTATGACTGTACCTGTAAGTTTTACTTCTTTTTATTTTCTTTCTATTTTTTTGCAGTGGTAGGGGTGCATATACCTTATGCATATACGAAGCATGTACGTTTACCACTCAGCTACACCCTCAGACCCATCTTACATGTCAGGCTCTGCTCTAAACAGATGCAGGCTGGCTTACTGGACGGTTACCTAAGCTCTAATGCTAGATTCCCAGAGTTTAAACCTAGGTCTGCTTTGGCATATTCTTTAACCTCTTTGCACTTCAAATATTTTCTTTCTTTCTTTCTTTCTTTCTTTTTTTTTTTTTTTGGGTCTGGTCATGGGGCCTGAACTCTGGGCCTGGGCGCTGTCCCTCAGCTCTTCAGCTCAAGGTTAGCGCTCTACCACTTGAGCCACAGTGCCACTTCCAGCTTTTTTCTTTTTGCTTATGTGGTGCTGAGGAATCGAACCCAGGGCCTCAGGCATGCAAGGCAAGCGCTCTACCACTGAGCCACCTTCCCAGCCCGCACTTCAAATATTTTCATCTGTGGTGGAGGGATCAGACACCTATCTGTAAAATAGGATTTTTTTTAGTAATTAGTGCAGTTCTTCAATATAGAAGAATTTTGTGTGTGCCAGTACGGGGGCTTTTGAACTCAGGGCCTGGGCACTGTCCCTTAGCTTTCTTGCTCAAAGAGGATGCTCTATCATTTGAGCCACAGCTCCACTTCTAAAGTAGGGATTAATCATTCTTTCTATGTAGATTAATGCCTGGGTATGATAAGCTGTAAATAAATATTAGTTTCTTATTTGTTCCTAATTCTTTATCTCCCATGCCCAAATCCTGAAAGCTGTAAAACCAGAAATCTTTATAACTCTTCTGGCAGCAAAACCCAATTTGAAACAAAACAAAGCCTTCTCTGGTCTTTATTGATTCTTGCCTAGCACAGATGTGTCTGCATTGTGCTGCAGAAATATGAAAGGAGCTGATGCCAGAGCTGAGGATGTTATGTAACGTATCATATGTGCACCACGCTACCTTTCTCAAATCGGAAAAATGTCTAATTCTTAAGCACATCTGTCCCCGGGGATTTTGGAGGAGGTAATGGGCTGTTATTTGTATTGGTATTGACTCTTTTATCCCTCCCATTAACTCTGATAAGTAGATCCTAATTGTCATGAATTTATAGATAAGGCATCTGTGGCACATGGTGTCTAATTGATGCCCACACAACTAGTGACAGATTCTGCATTTGGACCTAAGCAGCCAAGTACCGGTGGTCTAAGCTTTTAACTATCAGTTTAAACTGCCCCTCAAGTTATTGGTCCCCTTTTAGCCTAGCCTTCAGAGAACAGGTACCTTCCTATTCAATCAATTGCTATTATTTCCTTAGAGCAAAGTGGAAATAAAACTTGACCTTCATATTGCCCAAGAGGATAAATATCATTCAAGCAACTGTCTGCCTGGCCAGGATTGCTGGATTAAGAATAAACCTAAATTGGAAGGTTTTATTTTATTTTAATTTTTTTTTGGCCAGTCATGGGGCCAGAACTCGGCTTGGGCACTGTCCCTGAGCTCTTCAGCTCAAGGCTAGCACTCTACCACTTGAGCCACAGTGCCACTTCCGGCCTTTTCTGCTTATGTGGTTCTGAGGAATCGAACCCAGGGCCTCATGCATGCAAGGCAAGCACTCTACCACTGAGCCACCTTCCCAGCCCCAATCGGAAGGTTTTGAAGAACCTCCTTCTATCATTTATAGCTTTGCCCTTTAATCTACAACAAAATATACAATATGATCCTCTTATGGCAAAGCTTGCTCCAAGTCCATTCATCAGACACAGTCTTAAGCAACAGTCCAAGTCACAAAGCTATGGAGTGGCAGCTTAGGGTCCTGTCTCCAGAGCCCCTCACTGAGTTTGTTTTGAAGGCTGGCTCCTTTCAGAGGCCCAGTGTTTGGTATGACTCCTGGTGGCAAAGAGCGGCACTGCCAACTATTCCTCTGAGCTACAGCAGAATCCATCCGCTGAGTGCAAAGCCCTGGACTCTGGGCTCTGCTGCTCATCTCTTCTCCCACTTGAAAAGAGTGCTGCAATAGATAGGTCTACTTTGTCCAGATGGGTTTACTTTTCTATCACCTCATCACTGAGCAAGCACTCATACTCAGGGAGTGACAACCATGGGCCAGTGAGGTAGCTGGGAGAAAGCCACAGACTGGACACATACACCCTACTCTAACACATTCCCTATCTTACTGGGGGAAGATAGATAAGCAAGGCAAACGAGTCAAGAGCCCGGCAGATGGTGAAAGGGGCTATGGGCAACATCTAAGCAGCAGCAAAGGAGCTGTTCTCCTAGTTCAAGGCAAGGTGGGCGCTGAGGTGACAGGTGAGCCAAGGTAAAGGAAGGGCTCTGAGCCTGGGTGCCAGCAGGTTGGAGGGAGAAGTAAAGCCAGATAAGTGAAAGGGACAGGGAGAGAGGGAGGGAGGGAGGGAGGGAAAGAGGGAGGGAGGGAGGGAGGGAGGGAAGGAGGGAGGGAAGGAGGGAGGGAGGGAGAAAGGATGGCAGGACACTGGACCAGCCAGAGGGAGACATTTTCAGACACTGTTAGGACTTGGATTTTGGATGAGACAGGATCCATAAGAGGGTTGTGAATAGAAGGCTGACAAGCTGTGTGACTTGGATATTAAACAGAATCCCTGTGGCTTCGGTGAGAACAGCAATTGGGGTGAAGAGGCTGTGATGGTCCAAGTGAGAGATGGTGGCAGCTGTGGAAGGGCTGAGAAGTGGGTTCTGGCTAACATTCACTGAGAGATAGCATGGATAGTGTGTGGGGAGGTGTCAAGGTGAATCTAGGTAGGGGGCCTGATTACTTGGAAGGAGTTGAGAACAACTTAGATGGGAGTATGAAGGGGGTGGACAGGTTTCAAAGGAACAAACAGAAAGCCGGTTTGGAGATGATTAGTTTCAGAGGCTCATTAGACACTCAGGGGTATGCTATGAAGAATAGTAATTTAAGAAATATAAATTTGCCGGGCACTGGTGGCTCATGCCCGTAATCCTAGCTACTCAGGAGGCTGAGATCTGAGGATCATGGTTCAAAGCCAGCCCTGGGAGGAAAGTCGGTGAAACTCTTGTCTCCA